ATATAAGCATGGCTGTGATTAGTAGATATGAACCATAAGTTTCTACCATCTTGATATGCTGTGCTGACAGGAAAAAAAAACTAAAATAGTAGCTTGAGCAAGACAAGGAATGTGGTGTGCCATAATAAGATGGTTTTGAGTTATTTAGGACAGTGATTCGCAGCCTGTGGTCTGTGGGCCACTGGTGGTTCCCAGGACACTTGCTTGTGGTCCAAGGAGAGCTGGCTGATCAGATGGAGTTGGCTGTCTTACCGGTTTCCACTTGCTAAGCGGAATTAATGGTAGCTAAGAATACTTTCCCAATAACACTTTTTTTTGTGTATGCATTTGCTGCGGTAGCCTTAGAGATGTCGTGCCACCATGAATGTGTGGTGATGGTGGGGAGTGGGATTGTGGTCTGCAGTGCTGCAAACAGGAGAAGAGGGGATTGTGAAACTTAGATGTTCCAAGAACTGAGTTCCTAAAAATAGGGATTCATCGTTAGCCAACAGCCTTTGTCCTTGTGTGTAGCCCCAAAGGAGGGAAGTTACACAAAGGCACGGGGAGTCAGGATGCATTTGGTAATTTTAGCTAGCTCATGACTCATTTATTTTAAGTAGTACAGATGTTTTTAATGGTTGCTGATGTTGGAAAATACCTGTGCTGCTGAATCAGGTGAGTCAGAGCTACTGGTAATCAGTCATCACAAAAGCACCTCAGAATTGGTGTCAGCAGTGCTTAGAAGGTCTCTGACCAGCGAATCCTTGCCTAGGCTTCAGCACTGTTTGGTTAGATATCAAACAGCCATAGTAATGGTAGGTGTCTGTCCACATCCAGGTACACAGTGCTAGCCATTTAAAAGGCATTTATGTCTTGTATTATACAAGTAAAGGGAGAAAAGCAGAAGAAAGGCAGCTGAGCTGACATATCACATGCATACTTTAAGCCCATGTATGCACACATTTGATTCACATGGATTTCTATTTCAACAATATTTTCTGTTTCCTAGGCATATAAATTAAAATATCTGAGAATGTTATTTAAAGATGGATTATCTGTAATATGACTTCTTTACAGGCTACAGTTATGTTTAAATATCATAAATCCGGAGAACGCTGTAGTCATGTTTGTGTCCCAGAACACATAGCACTGCTTCATTGTAATGCAGAATTGTATGACAAGGTGTCTCCCAGTGCAGTGGTATCACGCTGTAGACACATTAAAAAGAACCAAGCTGTAAGCATGCCATCCAGGTAGCATTAAGCTAGTCTCATAACTGTTTCATAGCTAAGTGTTTCATAGCTAAACGTCATTTTTTTAATGTATAGAGAGGAGAAGCTTCCTGTTTACAAAGCTGGCCTCACCACTGGTTAATCACATTGGGCCCTTCACATGGTATTTGTACACAGTGAGGGATCCCATATTGCATTCTGCCCAGGGAAACTGGTTGTTTTCACAGGACAGGAATGGAACTGTCAGCTCAGTGCAGTGCCATCCTGCTGCCCCTCTTGATACAGCAATTGCTGCTGCCCAGAAACCGTATTCCTTACTTGTCTTTGGAAAAGGCAGCTTAAGGAAGGAAGTATGTGTGTGTATATATAAGAGCTATAATGAGGTATTTAAATGTTGAGGGTTTTGTCTTTGCCTGGTAAGATCTGCATTTTACTGTATGGTTTTAGTGTTAGGTGTCTATTTTAAGGAACAAATGATCATTTCATGTTATGAACCCACTGGAATGTTTTAAATCTAAATGTGTGAAAAGTAAGCAGCCCTAGGGATGCTGCAGTACTCCATTTACTTCTTTCCTTTGAGCCACATTTGGTTAATTATTCATAGAGGACCCATAATTATGCAAATAGATCCTTTGAGTAAAATCTTGGCCTTTAGCATTGACTTTATCAGTTCTGCTTGATTTTAAGCATGTGTTTAAAAATCTTGTTCCATTCAAAATCAAAACTAAGAGAATAAAATTTTGCCATATGTGAAGTATTTCTGCGTCACTCAGTTGTTTTCTTTTCTGGCCAACCAAAACGATAACAATTTTAACTGCTCGTAGCATCATACCTTAACAGCCATGTATTTATTATGGTCACTTAAACACTGTTAGATTCTGGTACCATTTAATGCATAGCTCTATATTCAATTGACTTTGATAGAGTAGTGACCAATTCTTGCTGATGTGACTAGGAAAGAGGACTTTGTCTTTTATTATAGCTATACAAAAAATAGGTTCTTTATTTTCTCTGTTTCTTTCAAGGTTTTCCACTGAGTCTGTCAACATCATATATGTAGGCATATTATTTAAAAAATATCCATTAATAGCTTTCTGATCTGCTCTAGTACTTTATTCAACTAATTCCCCTGTTAAAAGAACCAGAAATTTTTATCCATATCTTCAAATAAGGTTAATATAATTCTATTTTTAAAGATGTGTTTTAAAGTAACAACTTTTGAAACGTGATGCAGTCTTCTGAATCCTTATCCAGAAAACAAGACATTTTTTAAGAAATTGACATTCATCCATTGAAGAGTATAATGTCTTTACTGCATTCCAGGAAACTTTGAATGTAGGTTTTGAGATTGTTTATGGATCATTTTCTGCCTTTCACCCCATGACATAAGTATGTTCTCCAGCTGATACCATCACTTCTAATTAGATGCAGATGGCTGTTAGTGGGGGGAAAAGAAGTGTTCAAGAATGTGAACCCTCTGAAAAGGTAACATTTATATCTTTTGGTGTCTTGACAAGACGGCTTGTCACAGTTCACTAAGATGAGCAGTGCTGTGATGTTTCAGAGTACCTTGTTTAAATGTTTACCATACTATTAGGGAAAGTATTGTTACCATACTGTAGGGAAAGTAAAAAAGTGAAATAATTTAATAAACAAAATATTGAAATTATTCAGATTATTTTCCCCAGGGAGAATGCTTAGGAATCTTTTAATCCAAGTCAGTTTGAAAGATATATTTGCATCTGCTAGCAGAATGAAAACGAACAATACCCATAGCAGAGAACAACCCTTTCTGTCTGAAGATGCAACAGGTCTGGATTTGCTTCGATAGTTGAGTCCAAAAGTTTATTCACTACATAGGTTAGCTGTAGGAAGAAAGCTGATCAATACTTTTATTTATTAATAAGAATTTCTACTTTATGATACAGACCTTTGACTTAATTTTGATACCCACAAAGCTTGCAACAAATGATGCAGATCTTGATGGGATCAATCCAGTGTTTAATGGCAGTTTTCTTTCTAGTTCAAAGTGATCTACAGTTGTAAAACTAAGGAACTCTCAGCAATATACAACATAATTCCAGATTCTAAAAGTAATCAGGTTTGGAACATGGAGTCTTTCTGTTTGGTTTGGTTTTAGGAGTTTACCTTTCTTTAGGGAGCAATGTAGGTGTGTCAGGGAAATGCAGGAAACTGTAAGGCAGATTATGCAGGAAGAAGTAACTGCAGATGGCCCCATTCTTATGTAATCATCTTCATTAACTAATTACTTTTACATCTAGTGCATCTACTTAAATCTCTCAGCAAGATCTGGGTAAGGGCTGTGTGCTTTGAGAAATTATAAAGGACAAAATGATACAGTACTGTGGACTCAGGTTGAATGAAGGAGTCTCATTGCTGCTTGCTGGATGAAGGATTTTTTCTCTTTTCCTCCTTTTGATACTACATTCTTTTTCTTTAAGCTAGACATATTCTTATATTTCTAAAGATTGAATTTGATGTTTTGTGCGTTAATGCATTTATTAAAATAATCTGATTTGCTACAGCTATCGAATTACTGGTGTGGTTGGGTGACTACTGCCTTGCTAAATTAGACCCTGTTGGGTTAGACTACTAAATTCTTTGAGATTGCCATTGTAGTGTCATTTTTTTTCAGAAGAAAACTGTGATTTTGAACATAGTACCACTGAGTCTTTGCTGTCAGATACTCCACTGACCTCTGTACTAGTGTTTACATGATTTGCAGGAAGAAGCTTTATCTTGCAATTAATCATGAAGAGACCAATTTCAGTATTTCTAAATGTATTTTAGTATATATTAAACTCCACATGATCATATTTGGATCTGTTTTTGTAGAGTGCAGGTCAAATCAGTCGCTATCTTTTTATATAAAGTATACTGTAAAGCCACAGGCAGTTTCAAAGAGTTTGTAACGAGCTATGGCTTTGATGTCTGCTAATGTAAATGGATGAGAAAATCAACCTTTGCCCGACTGTGGCCCTAGCACTGCTTATGGGTCACAGGTGAATTGGTTTGCTTTCTATGTAGCACATCTCACCTGTGCAAAATGAAGACCAAAACCATCCCTTCATCTATAATGACAGATCAGCTTTGTAGCAGTGACACTCTGGTCTCTATTTCAGCTATAATGCAAAGCTCCAGGAAAAATAAAGCCATCACAGTGTCTTTGGCATGTTGCCATACTTGCTATGCTGGGCAGTTCAGCTAGGTGATTAAGAATGAAACCTTCAGCATTTTCTTTGGGAAGGCTTAAAAGGAAGCTGCTATCTTGCTAATAGGAAATAAATCTGCCAATTAAGTTTTAAATAGTGTAACAGGACACTGGAGAAGAGAAGATATAAATCATAATTTAAAGTGGTCAATTTGACAAAAATGTGTTTTGTCGTCAAAAATATAAAATTAGTACTGTACAGCACGTGCAGATGGTTATTTAAAGCATCAGCAACTGATAAAGAAACCTGCTATGTTTAAAGAAAGTACAAGGTGAAATTTTATTTCCTCTCCTCAGTTGTACCACTGATTTTAATAAATTCAGGCTTTCACATATACTGCTTTGTCTGTCTTTTGCCTCGTGCTGTGCAAAGTAGCGAAAGATGGAGTACAGAGTGCTCTTCAATCAAAATCGTGACCTTTTCTGATGATGGCAGAAAACATAACTCAGTGGAGAATGCCAGACCAGAGAACTACATTCTCCTGGCTGCTGGATTCGCTTCATGTCACGTCAGCCAGCAGCAGACCCCCAGTTGCTCTGACGTCCGATGGGGATCAATGCCAGGAGTCGCTAAGCCACAGCTGGTTCCCTTTCCTGACAGCTTGTTCTCCTTGTTCAAAGAGGAGCCCGAACAGAGACTTCGAAGGCTTTTCAAGACAGGTAGCGATTAGAAGCCTTGATTTGCACTGCATTGCAAAATATTTTGCATACGTTTTGTGCCACAGCCCACAGTGCTAGCATGGGGTCACATTCCCTGCTGGAATAAACTGACATAGCTCTTTGCAGTCAGTTGTGTGGCACCAGTTTACAGCATCAGGGAATCTAAGATGATAATTTTGAAAATTTCTTCTGCTCCCATCAATTTTGAAGGATACAGATAAAAGATGGAAAAATGTTACATTTGCCTGAGTGAGTCTTTTACTCCTTAAAATAGAAAGGATGCTAGACAGTATTGTTAAATACTTTGGATCTGTTTACTGCAGGTAGTTATTCTAAATATTAAGTTTTACATTTCCATGGACAAATGAGGATAGAAACCTACACTTTCCTTTATACCTCTATTAAAATAGCATCATCCAAGATGAATATACATGAGAGTAAAGAAAAAGGACTGTTAGACTGAATGCCATCCTAATGCCATTATAGCAGCTAGTGAAGTAGGAAATGCATTAGTGTTATTTTAGTGTTCCTCTGAAGATAGGTGTTATTTTAGAATTATTCTGAAGAGTGACACTTATTTGAACATTTCAGTCTAGGTCTGTATCACAGTTCTAAATAAAATTTTGGGCTGGATTTTCAGGAAAAATCAGGACTGGCCTAACAAATTAAAAGTTTTAACTTGGATTCAGTAGAAGCATCGAGCACTTCAGGAGATGTCACCCAGTGATCTGTCCAGTTGCAGTGAAGTACAGATTCTGTATTGTTACTTGTGCTGCTGTATAACTACGCCTCCAGGTGCACTCCTGTAATTTCTCCTGCTTTTGAAATAATTCTTTTTATTCCCTGTCTGTGGAATAGCTCTTCCTCGGCCAGCTGTCTTACTTTGCTGTCTTACTTTGCTCTGCACTTCAATTCTCAGTTACTCAGCAAGGAAACTTGTTTGCCCTCAGTCTCTCTTTCTCTATTTGTATCTATTTAAACTTCCCAAAGTTTTGAAGTGCTGTTTTCAATAGGTATGACTGTTAGACTTGCCTACTGTGGTGCAGCACCTCATTTATCATACACTGACTGAATCAATTCCTGCAAAGTGGTATTCATCCATTTTTGTTCCCTTCGACACTCAGACAATTGCTACGGTCCTTCCTTTACCTCCTGTATTATATTCAGTAAAGAATTACTTAAGGAACATTAAACTCTGTGTGCGTTATCCTGGAGAGACTCATACATGACATATCTTGGGCTGATGGTGCAAAATAATTCAAACACCAGTGAAGCACATTTGCCCTTGCAAAACTAAGTGATACTATTTCAGATCGTACATGAAACAAGCATTCATAAAGGAAATACACAAGGTAGACATTTGCAG